AACTCATAATTCCGATCAGGCAAGCATATAACTTCAGTATATTTCTGTGCCTTATGCTCCCAAGAATCTCCATTTCTGCAATTGAGACATCTGACCCTTTAGCATCTTCTCTCCTCAGCCACTTTACTGCCACTGTTCCTCGGTTCTTCTTCAGGTCAACTCTGTACACTTTTCCCGCGCTTCCAACCCCAATGACATGATCCTCCTTCAATCTGCAGATCTCTTCTGCATCAAACTCGAGTTGATGGAAAGACGCGATTTTCCATTTTGCATCTGCATCAAGATCGCTGCTTTCCATGTCAAGTTGGCGAACCTTCACGTTTCTACAATACACTATGGAAAATCCTGACATGAAAGCGATCAGGCCGGAGGCTAGTGCCAAGAACACAAACAATTTTACGCGAAAGTCTCCCTTTTGTGCATGGTGGCTGCTGCCACAGATGTTCAAACCAGAGCTCTCATTGGTTTTTGTGATCAAATCATCGACACATAGTTTCTCATTTCCAAAGAACGCGGCTGCTCCTCCCACCGCTAAAAGATCCAGCGGTATTCTTCCAGTCAATTGATTTTCAGACAAATCAATGGAACTCAACTTCAACTTCACTAGATTCTCAGGGATCGAGCCTGTAAGAAGGTTGTATGAGAGATTCAGCGAGTTCAGAGAATTCACCTGTGACAGAACACAGGGGATTTCACCAGTTAATGAGTTTCGAGCGAGATTCAGATCGACAAGTCGGACACAGTTCGCCAGTTCCTGAGGGATCGACCCTGTAAGCGAGTTAATTTCAAGATGCAGAGACGATAATTGTCTTAAATCTCCAAGTTTTGCCGGAATTTGGCCAGAGAACTCGTTGCTACTCAGATAGAGTCTCTCTAAGTTGGCCAGCTTTCCGAATTCATGAGGAATTTGGCCGGAAAACTTGTTGTTGTGCAAAAACAGTTGGTTCAGTTCTTCCGAAAACCCGATTGAAGGAGAAATCTCTCCGGTGAAACCATTATCGCTTAGATCGACCATCTTAGCTTGAGGAAGAGCCCAGAACGCATCCGGAATACGTCCAGAGAGACTATTATTGTTGATCCGGAGCCTCACGAGGGATTTGCAATCGGCGTAGGATGTAGGGAACTCGCCGAAAAATTTGTTCTGCAGAGCTAGCAAAAATTGCAACTTTTTGTTCTTGCATAAGAACGCAGGAAACGGACCGGAGAACCCATTCTCGGAGATATCGATTGTGTTCAGGGGAGAGAACCGACCGATGTTGGCCGGAAATTCACCAGAGAAGTTGTTCCTGTAGATGGAAAGCGAAGTAAGGTGACGCAGATCCCCGAACCCAGATGGAAACTCGCCGGAAAAGTTGTTCTCGTGGCACTCGAAAACCCTTAGCTCCTTTAAATTCGCAATCTCCTGAGGCAATGCACCACTCATCAGATTCGAGGAGATATCCAGTTCGCGCAAGCGGGTCAGCTCTCCGATCCTTTGGGGGATTTCTCCGGTGAGTCTGTTGTGGTAGAACTCAATCTTGGTGAGGTTCACCAATCTTGTAATTGACGACGGGAAATCCCCGGAAATCGCATTCCTCGAGATATCAAAAGTATCGAGAGATATCAGATCGAAGATCGATTCCGGAATCTGCCCCTGTAAGTGTGAATGCGCCAAGAATAGCCAAGTCAAGTTCTTCAAATTCCCAATACTCTCAGGAATCTCACCTACTTCGTAATGATTGTTGCCCAGTCCGAGCGAAACTAGTTGAGTCAGATTGCCTATCCAACTCTGAAACTCTCCGACCAAGAAATTCTTCGAGAGGTCGAGAATCTCGAGGCTTTTCAGAGGTGAAAGGTCCGGAACCTTCCCGGAGAGTCGATTGGAGGATAGGTTGAGGACCCTGAGACTGGTACAGTCGACAATCGCCAGCGGGATCATCCCGGAGATGGAATTCAAAGGAAGCCGTAGAGTGGAGAGACTTCTCAAGGTAAAGATCACCGGAGAAATGGAGCCGGAGAGAGATTTGTTGGCGAGAGAGATCTCGACGACTTCGCCGGAGAATGGGTGACATTTGACGCCGTGGAACAGACAGGGCGAGGCGGAGGGTTTCCATGACTCGAGAGCGTTGAGAGGGTCAACGAGGCGGGACTTGAAGTGGAGCAGAGATTCTGTTTCTCCGGCGGCGGAGCAAACAGACGGCAGGAAAATCGAGAGGAGAAGCGTGGCAGTTACGACAGCAGCACGAAGGTCTGGTCTTCTCGTCATTTCGGATATCTAGCAACAGTCAACCACTGCACGAACGAAAAAAAAGGCATTATTTATTATAATATTACCCTATCTTATAAAGAAAATGTACATGTTAACAATTTTATGATGATTTGCTTTGGAGTAAAGCCAGTGATGTGTTTCTGTCACTCACTAGACCAAAAGGAAACAACCTTCGGGAAACAGAGAAATCAAATACCAAACATTGAGGAATCGAGTGTAAACTAAGGATCATTCATCAAAAAGGTGATTAGACAATCAAAATCAAAAGCACTCGCATGTAATAATAATATATACACAACATATTAATTTAAATATTGTATTTAAAACAGTGTATCCGAAGCAGATATCAGAATCTAACTTTTAGGCTTTCTTTACAGTATAATGATCTTTTAATGTTTAATAATCATGGATTAAGAGTATGTAATTAACTAGGTGCGTGAGCGGGTTTAGGTTTCAAATCCATCCCAGAAAAAGCAGACCCGTCTTTGACAAAACGACAAAAACATGAAGAGAGTTGAAAATCGTACCTGAGCACGGAAGAGAACAAATCTGCGAAAAGCTCAAGGATCGTCAGAGATCTTTCTTGCGTCACCCTAAGGAAACTTTGCGGGTCTTTGGGGCAGAGACGATGCTGTATTTTGCGATTATAATCAAAATCCAGAGGACGGAGCAAGGAAGAAAGATTTTTCAGGATTTCCAGGACAGAAAGAGAGGGCTTCAGAGATGAAAAGGATAGTGCCTTTTGTCTGAAAACTTTTGTTTGGGTGCCGAGAAAAGTAACCTGATTTTCTACCACTTCCCAGGAAAATTTCTGGGGAAAACGAAACGAGGAGAACCCCGATTTCCACTACGTACTCGGATGAACTGATTTGAGGAAAAGACGAAGAATTGAATGGGAATCAAATCGCTGTTCTCGAGAAAATACGATGCGATTCAATGAACAGTCACGGAGAAGGACGAACACGAGGAATAAGAGTGGGAGGGAGGGAGAGAGAGAGAGGTGAAGACGGAGAAGAAATGAGAATGACACATTTATCTTACTCTCTCTCTCTCTGTTTATAATATATTTATGGATATAATTCAATAATAGAGGGAGAAAGAAATACAATTGCGAAAACGAATTTACATAATTCATATCACGAAAAGTGATAAAACATTAATCTGTTTGTCAACAAAGTAATAAAACCATTAACTACATTGACATGGACATAAGCATCTTTGTTCTTGGGACTTCTATTTTAGTTAAGCGTAGAATTAACCCCGATAATTAATAATTATGCCCAGATTTTGTGCAGAAAATGATTTATAAACATGAAAAATATAGTATTCTCAGCCGATATTTCTAGATGACGTGGGAGAGCATGTGGAGATTAAAGGATCATCACAAAGTTGTTTTACGTAAGATTTGTCTCTTGCATCGAAAATCAACAGAATTATGGCCCTAAATGAGAAGTCATTATCTGAAAGATATATTCTCTTGTAAAAAACAAATGTTAAAATTATTTGGTTTGACCAATTCCAAAGGAATCGAAGAAGTAACACATGAATTATGAGATTGCGTTTGTTGTATAATGCTTAAAAAAACTAATAATAAAGGGGGCTGTGGAAGTGGAAGACCAAAAAAGTATTTACGCAACTCCCTTGCGATGGATGAGGAATGAATAATATCAGCTTTAGTTGCCATTTTGAGAGCTGGAGATAAATTAAAATGTCCAAATTTTGAAGTTGGATTATTTTTTTTTTTATAAAAAGATATTCGTACAACCTTTTCCGGGTTGATTTTTTTATGGGGGGGAATATGACCGAGGGCGAGCAAGCCATTCGGATGAAATCAAAGTGGTTAGGCATTTGGTTGGTGCGATGTTAATATTCCTTACGCACAAATTAAAGCCATGAAAAAGAAGAAGAAAATGCTTTGCGTAGAATTACCCTTCCATTCCAAGTGAAGTTTGATATTGAATGAATGGTCGTCCTCTTCTACGTCTCCGCATGCTCCGAATCTACACGTATTTATGAACTATACAAACACAAACTTTCATAACAGTAACAAGCATGCTTTCATAAGTTTTCAATATTATGATAATATAAGATATTCAATGTCGAATCATATCATTTTTTGGGATTTTCCCCACAGAAAATGAAATGTTTATTTTTTTTTGCGTAGAGAGATGATGCCAAGTTCTTTACCAAAGTAAATAAGAATCTGTAGGCACTAATCCTCTGGATGGTGAGCTCTTCTCATATTCCCTTGCTACACATTTGACAAAATCAACCCTTGGATATGAAATATGCCATCTCTCTGCTTCAACAGAACTCAGTCATCACAGAGACCTCTCATAGACTCATATAATACTTTTCCCTCCCTCTTCATGATCAATATATCATATTTTTTTTCAAAAAAAAAAAACTTAAGTCTAAGAAGCAGCCAATGGATATAACCAAGCAGTATAAATCAAGAAATCGACCATTTACTGATATCGCTGTCCGATTGCCCCGACCCCTAACAAAGGGCGGTAAACAAAATGTTGTGAGCATATAACGAATACAAGTGTTTATGAATTCAGTGGAGCAAAAGCAAAGTCTCTTTCAGACTAGTAAATATTTACACATCCACAAAGAAGTTTGTGTGTGCAAATGCATAATGCGATGCGTGTAGTTACGTGTGAACAGAATCCACACGTGTACATGTACATGTGGAGAGAGACAAGAGTGTGGTCCTAATCCTATCTGATATCTCTCTAGACATATATCCTAGTTGAAAGATTTTGTCTTCATGGTTTTCCCAAGAAATCTACAACTTGATGATTCATTCTGTGTAAAAAAATAAATAAAATCCAAGTTTCAGCAAGGAAATGTATTTGTACCAGTAACAAGTGAACAGACGCTTTAACCCAAAAAAAAAAACCAAGTGGAAAGATGACTTGAGTCACAAGGCTTATCCCAGAATTTTCAAACAGCTATAGATCAAAACCATCAGGGACCACCACCACCTAGGAAGGATGTAGAAATCCCACTAGAGATTGGTCAAAAGGACTTAAGCTATTTTGGACTGTGGTCTCTCAATTATGGTGGGTGGATCCTAATGCATGCCATGCCTGAGTATAAATTGATTTGAGGATTAAAAAAAAGAAATTAAGGCACTATTCTATGAGATATCAATTTTCTTCAGTAAAAATAGCCAACTCATAATTGACAACTAGAAGAAGATAGCCATCATCTCTCTTCCTTCCTACTTGAACAAACCTGTAGTATGATTCCCCGATTCATCACGAGCCTCCGTGTCGGAAATATAGAACAGAACGGTACAGAGCAGCAACATGAAGAAAACAAAGTAGGACGATGAGCAGATCATCCAGTAAACCGACTATTCCCAGAATTCCTACGGAAAATAGATATATACAGACGGTCACCAAGTTTGTTGAGAAAACAGCGACAGTGTTAATTCAAGAGATGAAAACAATGAGTTTTACCTTCTGGAATGACATCTACTGGACTGATTATATAAATCGCACTGAGTATCATCTGCATCCACAGCAAGGAATTAGCCTTCGTAACAGCACTTTTTAAGTTTACTGAGTAAATAAATGAGTTATTTTCTGGTGCAAGCAAGTTGTAAGAAAAAGATGGTCAAAGTAAAAACCAAGATAACAACGCCTGTAAAGCCTCCATTATTACTCCTTCCAACCCGAGTTTTCCACCAATGACAGTGATGGACAACATCCGAAAAAGTATGAAAACTTAACTGCAAAATAGACACGAGCTCTAATGACAAGTGGAAGTGTTCTTTGTGGATCCATCATTTCTCGCAACAACCTCCGCAGTAAGAAGGGCAGGTCTCGCATCCTCTGCATGGAAAATTAGATTCTAACATTAGAGACAATGGTGACACTCTACATTTGCTCAAAATATTAGACTCATGAGATGCATGAAATTCTTATCAAACTCAAATAGTAAGTGATTTCTTTTGCAGGAGCATATTGACATGGCTGAAAACAGCTAGAAAACCAAAATATACTATCAAAAACTCTAGCCAACAACAACTTGAAGAGTAACTTTTTGAATACGATGGAGTCCATAGTCGTATAAGCCCACCATTTTTTTAATGGTGAGAACAAAGCTTACAACAACCACTTATAAGAACCCAAAATACAAGAGGAAATGGCTCTATAAAGCCATCCATCATAAGGCCCATCCAATTTTCTTTCGAACAATAACTGCAAATACATAACTAGAAAACACAACAGAACAAGTTGACAGAAGCAGAAAGGAAGACTTTGACAAAGAAGGTTAATCATACTTTACCAATCTCTTCGGCATGAACGCAAAAACAACAGGAAAGGACGAAATACATACCTGAACAAAACTACTGGAATGCCCGCCAAAGAGTCGGTTGTACGTTTCAATATTACCAAGAATCTCAGCAACTGAAGAGTCATCACGCTCCCTCAGAGAATCCTCCGTAGGAACCAGCAAAGTAATTGGACGGCGGCACAATGGGCATTTACATGATTGTAGCATAGACCCATGACGCCAAACAAGCATAATGCAATTTCCTATAACAAGTTGAAAAAGAAGTTAACAAGACATTCACTAAATTAACAATGTCAATGTACAAAGATGAGGGAACTTATGTGCTTCAGTGAAAATTTAGCAAACATTGTATCGGAAATTCCAGACAAAGTATCCCATCAACCCGAACTTAGACAAAACATATACCTTACGACGCAGATTTTAACAGACAAAGTGCCCGGAAGAAACTGGTTATAAGCAGGTCGGAATCCCGTGAAGAGAAATGGATTAATAAAAACCGAATGCCAAATTTCAACATTCAAGAGTACAGTTCGTAGAAACATTAAGCAGAGAAACCACGTTGAACAGGACACGTCTTAAGGCAAATGTCAGCTGGCAAAGCAAAAATTTGCGCGAACACAGAACCGATTGTGATTTCAACTCGAGAAACAAGGAGGTTCGAAAGCAATAATTTAACAAAGAGGAAGACACGAAACACCGTTCTGAACCCACGAACTTGGTTCCAAACAAAATAAAACCTAAATCTAACAATCGTATTGAATGAACGAAAAGAATCGCCTGATTTCGCAGCAACTAAATGGTATTAGATTCAAGAGGGACGAAACCAAAATGGATTATGAAGAAGAATGGGGAGGCGAACCGCAAAACCAGTGAGAGCAATTGGCTTGGCAAGGAACGTTGAAATGGCCATGGCATATCGAGCAAAAATCGTTCTCCGGCGGTTTCTCCATTTTCGTGTTCCCCTTCCTCTCGTCGTCTCCGATGCTGCCACTATGATCTCTTCGTCGATTTTTCCATGGAATTCAGAAAACCGATGTTCGCCCTGCTATGGGACCCACGTGATTTCGTGCGCTTTCTTGCAGAAACGGTACCGTTTATTGTATGGTCGTTTAGGAGAACGACGCCGTTTACTACTGCGTTTGCGCACAAAGAGGACAAAACGCAGTCGTTTAGGAGTGTGCAAGAAAGAAACCTTAAAACGAAGCCATATATTGAGATCAGCAAGAAACATATGCACAACCCAACTGAGCTGAGGAAATTATTCTTCTGTGCGTTTTTTCCGATACAAATTAAAACTGAAACAGAATGCTTGAGAGTTCTGTGCATTTAGATTTCAAAGTCAAAACAAGGTTTACACTGGCTTGTTCTCAACACATGATCCAGGTTTTGGCCTAACTTCAGCTTTCAAACCGCATTCTACTGGTTCGCACCCTGCAATCAACAAGAACAACAACTATTCAATGTTCTCCGGAATATAAAACAAAGTGATATATATGTGAAGAAGCAAAACCACTAGAGTATGGATGATCTGTATAGTTAGAAGTTACAGGGCGACAGAGAACATGCACCCCAACCACGAGACAACTATGCCCGGAGATAAAGACTAGTGCTTTATGTTAACGATGCCTTTGAGACCTGCATTCTATAAGCAGATGCAAATACAATACCCTCCTCTGAATGGAATTGCATTGTCATCCCACAAAAGTTTCAAGCTTCCTTACAAAAGTCGAACATGAAAAACGTAGGTTTGATTTCAATCAAACCCTTCCTAGTTTCAGCATCACTTTTCCAATTCACTTACCCACAATGCAAAGAATGGAAAATGATTCAAGAGGGTATGCTACGGGGAAAAGATTAATGCAGCAGAAAAGTGAGTTCATAAGTTCATACCTGAGGTTCAGAAACATCCGTACTATTGGGAGCTGTGAAAGTGGCAGAAGATGGAGAAGAAGAAGGTGCATCAAAAACACGGGAACAATCGGTGTAAGCAGATCCAATACCTAACCCCGCCCCAAAAGCTACTGATGCCCATCTCGTCACAGGGCTCCCTAATCCATAATCACCATACACTTCAACAACAACAACAACAAAATCCCCATTTCCAGGAGCAATGAAGACCGGATTTTGAATTCTAAATAGAGATTGCAGAGATTTCGCATCTCTTCATCGGAACCTAATCATGTCATGTTTCCAGCGAAGCAAACCTCCTATGGAACACAAGATAGATGGTTTCAAGAGAATCGAATGGGGAAAGAATGAAGAAACCGAACTGAAGAAGAGAAGTCCGGCGAAGGCGCCGCCGAGAGAGGAGTAGACGAAGCGACGGACGGTGAGATCCAGACAGGCGTCCCACTTGGCGTTGACGTCGTACTTCGGCGGCACCGTCTCCTTCTTCTCTGCCATTTTCTTCCGATTAGATTCTCCGAATTCCTCTTCCGCCTTCGCGATTTTGCTCTTCTGCTTCTCCGATTCCCGGATTAATTGTTTCGTCCCAAAGGGTTTGTGCAAAAGGAAGAGGCTTGGGCCTGATATGTTCCTTCCTTCTGAGATATTGGGCTACAAACTGAGCCCAACGTGTTGGGCCTCGTAAGTTTACAAACTGGGCTTTTCCCCTTTTACCAGGAGGAGACAACGGATGAACATGTTCATGAACAGCCTATATCATTACGACACCTTTCTTTTCCCTCCATATTATTGCAACGCATTAGGTCTGAATTATGCGTCATGAAACTAACACATTTGACTTTTTATTCAGCAAAACCCAAAGCAATTTTTATTTTTAATGGGGAATTTTCTTTTCGTGATAAACAAATGGAAAAATAAAAATAAAAAGTTGTAATTCATCATTGGATTCCAATTTTCAGATATTTAATTTGGAAATCATGAGTAGAAAGAAATTAAAAAAAAAATACAATTATGGTGACTCATGAGCAGGGGTCGTCACACGCTTGTGACAGCAGCGCCAAATTCCAGCACGTCGCGTGACCATTCTACCCTTTGATCTCAACACTTTCGACACTTTCTCAGTTTCTCTCTGTCTTCGTTTTTTCTAAGGAAAAAGGCCGAATTAGGAAACCAAAACAAACCCACGTAAATGGCAGAGCATTCCACCACCCCTCCGGCACCGGATAATGCGGAAATTCAGCCATCTTCCTTTCAACCTCCGTCGCATGAATCCGGTTCTCCTACTCAAGAGGCCCAGCCAACGGAAACTGATGCCCCGGTGAAAGCGGCTGAGTCGTCTCCGGAGACCACCTCCGCCCCGGAAGACGGAACCGATGCGCCTCGTCCAGAGACTCAGACAGAAGTGGCGGAGCAACCGCCTCCGCAGGTGACGGGAGCGGCGGCGGAGGCGGATGACATTTCGCTCGGGGCGGTGTTGGAGAAAGAAGAGCGCGGCGGAGAGGCGGCGGAGAAGGAAGCTCCGGCGGGCGTCGATGAAGAGAAGAAGAATATGATTCCTCAGAATCTGGGATCGTTCAAGGAAGAAAGCAACAAGCCTTCGGATCTGTCCGATTCCGAGAGCAAATCTCTGGACGAACTGAAACAGCTTGTAAGAGATGCTCTGAACAATCACCAGTTTGGGGCAAGCCCTAACCCCGAAGACGGTACACCAGAGGAACTCTCCATCTGGGGGATTCATCTGCTCAAAGACGAACGAAGCGACGTCGTCTTGCTGAAATTCCTTCGAGCGAGGGATTTCAAGGTGAAAGACTCCTTCACGATGCTCAAGAACACGATTCAGTGGCGAAGAGACTTCAAGATCGACGAACTCGTGGAGGAAGACATGGTGGACGATCTGGACAAGGTCGTCTTCATGGACGGACACGACCGTGAAGGTCACCCTGTGTGTTACAACGTGTACGGAGAGTTCCAAAACAAGGAGCTTTACCACAAGACGTTCGGAGATGAAGAAAAGAGGAAAAATTTCTTGAGGACGAGGATTCAGTTCTTGGAGAAGAGTATAAGGAAGCTCGATTTTAGCCCGGGAGGAGTTTCCACGATATTTCAGGTCAATGACATGAAGAATTCTCCGGGATTGGGGAAGACAGAGCTTAGATTGGCGACAAAGAAAGCTGTTCAGTTGCTTCAGGACAACTATCCTGAGTTTGTCTTCAAACAGGTACTTGGAGATGTTGCTGCAGATCTTGTGGTTCATTGGATGCGTTTATGCTTCTGGTCAAATTAATCTGGGGATGCAATGGTGCTCTTTGATTGAATTCTTTACGTTTTTCAGCTGTGCACTAGATTACACTAGTTTGAATTCAGGCGTTTTGATGACCGGTCTTTGTTGAATCTCTGGTTTTGGTTGAATGCCGTCAGGCCTTTATCAATGTTCCGTGGTGGTACCTTGCGTTTTACACAATGATCAGCCCGTTCATGACACCGAGATCAAAGAGCAAGCTCGTGTTTGCTGGTCCATCAAGATCAGCGCAAACCCTTTTCAAGTAAGCGCGAGATTTTTCGAGTTTTTTTTTTTTTGTTCTTAAAACTTATTCTTAATTATGCTGGTTTGATGATGGGGGGATAGATACATATCGCCGGAGCAAGTTCCTATACAATACGGAGGACTTAGTGTAGATTCATGTGACTGCAACCCAGACTTCACCATGGCTGATCCAGCGACCGAGATCACGGTCAAGCCAGGAACAAAGCAAACGGTGGAGATAATAATATACGAGGTTCGTACGCACGAGATACGTGGGATCTTATCTTTGTAAACCCACCACATGAGAAGTATATAATATATAGTTAATGAAATGGTGCAGAAATGTGAGATGGTGTGGGAGATAAGGGTGGTGGGGTGGGAGGTGAGCTACACGGCTGAGTTTGTGCCAGAGGCGAGCGGTGCGTACACGATGGTCATTCAGAAGCCGAGGAAGATGGTTCCATCCGACGAGCCTGTGGTTAGCCATTGCTTCAAAGTCACCCAGCTGGGCAAGGTCCTTCTCACAGTCGACAACGCGACCCCTAAGAAGAAGAAGCTCCTTTACAGGTTCAAGGTTAAACCTTTCGTCTGATCATTTATTAAATCTTCCCAGCACACGAGTGAGAAGAGACTTAATTGTGTGTTTGTATATATTATGGTGTGGTTGTTTTGTCCTCGTGTACATTTTGGTGTGATTAAATGTCGTCTCAAATTCCTGCCCTTCCATGATAGAATTGTATTCTGAAGATTAGACATTGGGTGGAGACCTTTGTCACTAAATTGTTGCCTTGTGCAAGCAGTTGCGTGAATTTTTTTAGGAATCATTAATTAATTATTCCATAAGAAAGAAAAAGATATATATGATGAGGAGGATGTGATGAAGAAGCACATGCCTGTACCTGTATGCAGTCATTCATTAATAGCAGTTTGAGTTGTGTCGGTCCACGCATGTCTGTCCCTCTTGTTTTGTTTTGTTTTTTCAAATCAGGATCCGGACCACCATTCATTATGAGAACTCCAATTCATTTTAATGTGTCTATATGCATGTTCACGTTCATGACACATATATAATAGACATATGTGTACATGTATCATTGCAAGTGCTTGTTTTAGCCACCCTGCATTTCTTTTGGAAAGTCTTTGTTTGTTTAGCTTTCAATTTCTTGGCGGATTGTGTTAGGTTGTTTGTCTACATTATGAATATATATTCCAACATTATTGAAGATATATAACACACATAGTTACATGAATTTTGGGAGACATAAAAAACACTAAGAAAATGCATCGTGTATGATGTCAAATATAAATACAATAGAAGAATGTGTAAGGTGAAATTGCAAATAAGAAGCTGCATATTGCTAACAAAACTTATCGCAAGGGGGGAGCACATGCCCACATGGATGGGGTGTGGTCTCTGCCATGTCTCTATTTTGTGTTTCATTAATTTGCGTATCTAACAGTCTTATCTCTGTCCTTTTCTCCTCCTCTTCCTCTATTATTTCATTTGATTTATTCCCCCTACATCTAGCCTGATCCACAACAAAGTATAGTAATAGATGACATTTTTTCAACGTGAGGGCCCACTCTCTCGTTATTTCTTCTTCCATCAAGGCTTCACCCGTTACATAGACAATGGAATCTATGTATGACATATCATGTGATTCCGGGATTTGCGTCACAAGCAACTTACATATGTATGTATCTATAAAACAGGATCTGGTATTTGTTTTGTTTAGATCCTACAGTGAATGAAATCTATGTATGATATATAATGTGGGTTGGTGAGGATTTTAATGGAAAAGCACTCGAAATGGAGAAAATGATTAGAGGCAAAGCACGGACCACCTGTTCCATCTTCTTCCATGCGACAAAATCAACATATGTCTAAGCATATATATACACACACACTATCATAATGCATACACGATCAATATATACACTAAATTTACGCAATCTGTACGATAAGTGGTGGTTATCAAAGATAAAGGATATTCAATGAAACAAATAGATTTCTTTTGTTCACACACACAAACACCCTTCTTCATAAGCATCCACAAAGCAAACCCGTGATCATGAATGAACAAAGACCAAAACCCAACCCACCCTTTTGAGTTACAAATATTACATAAACTAAATTAAATTAATAAACATTCCCCAAAGAACCAAAAAAAGAAAAAGAAAAACAATTTCCCCCCTCATTGGGCTGATCATATGACATATGCTCTCAGATTCAATCAGAACAGGAATGGGTTTTGAACCTGTAGAGCAGCTTCTTCTTCTTGGAGCTCTGGTTATCGATTGTTATCACGACCTTTCCCGGTTCACCCACCTTGAAAGAATCGGTTATCACTGGTTCATCTGTTAAACCGAGCTTTCGATTCTTGGAGACGATCACCGTGTAGCTTCCCTCGGTGCTTGGCTCGAACTGAGCTCCGTAGCTCACGTCTGACCCCAGAACCCTAAGCTCCCATGTCAGAGTGCATGCCTGCCAAAATCCAACCATCAACCCATTCATCAATTCCGGGTTAATATGAGTGGCAATTCATCACAAACAGTATGTTACAATGCAAAATATCATATGCAGTGAAATGGTTGAGAAATATAGTATATTTATACCTCGGAAGCAGGCAAATCGATGGTGTATTTGGCTGCGGATTTAACAATGGTCTCTGTGACGGTCACTTCAGCGGAGAAGATTCTCTTAGTCAGGCTCTCTTTGCTCAATCCGCCGTACTTAACAGGGACTTGCTCAGGCGCTATGCATCTGTTTGGACCGACAGAAGGAGCGTTTAAGGTCAAAGAGTATTCACAAAACATTGCAATTACACAAGGAACTGATCAAAATGGTGTACTTGAAAATGGTGTCGGCCGATTTGGATGGACCGGCAAGGACCATCTTGCTCTTTGTCCTGGCTGATGTCACGATCGATCCGAAGGTTCTGTAGTAAGGAATGTACCACCACGGAACGTTGATGAACAGCTGAAATTACAAAACAAACAACAAATTGAGACAACCCATAGCAAGAACTCACCGTGTATTCCTGATAAACGCTCTAAGAGATTGATCAAAGGTTATGTACCTCTTTGGCAGAGAATTCAGGGTAGTTGTCCTCGAACTGCTTGACGGCGCGTTTGATAAACTGCCAGAGAGCCCTCTTGCCGAGCCCAGGAGCGTTCCTGAAGTCGCTGACGAACACGAACGACGACTTCTCGGACGGGCTGAAATCAAGAGCCCTCACGCATTTCTCTTGGAACTGAATCCTCCATTTCAGGAACTTGTTCAGCTTCTCCTTGTCTGAAAACAGTTCCTTGTTCTGGAACTCACTGTAGGCGCTGTAGATCACCACATGTCCTTGCTTGTCCATGCCGTGGGCGAACACAATCTTCTCGAACTCGGTTCCTTCGAGATCCTCTCCGACAAGCTCGTCGATATTGTTCTCTTTGCGCCAACGGACGGTGTTTTTGAGCATCGCGAAGGCTTCCTTGACCTTGAAGTCACGAGCCCTGAGGAATTTGAGGAGGACAACGTCGCTTCTCTCGTCCTGCAGGAGAGGGACTCCCCAGATGGACACCTCCTCCGGCTCCACCTGCTCCTCCAATTTCGCGGCATCCGCGGCGGCGGTCTCCGGAGCAGAGACAGGCACGATTGTCTCCTCGATCGCCTCCACGGTCTTCGCCCCATCCTCATCTGCGGCGAAGGCTTTCTCGATCGTTATGGCCGACGATTCCGCCGGCTTGGCATCCTCGGGCGCCGGTTTCTCTTCCTTCTTAGTCTCGATGGTCACCTGAGCGGCCGATTTCTCCGCCGGCTTGGTCTCCACCGGAGCCGCCGGTTTCTCCGCCGGCTTAGTCTCGGTGGGCACCTGAGCCGCCGGTTTCTCCACCGGCGCCGGAGTCGCCGTTTTCTCTTCCTTCTTAGTCTCGGTGATCACCTGAGCCACCGGTTTCTCCTCCTTCTTGGTCTCGGTGGCCGCTGGAGATGCCGGTTTATCCTTCTTTGTCTCAGCCGGCGCTGGATCCGCCGGCTTCTCCT